ACAACCCAGCTTTGCCCATAGGGGGGTGCAGGTGGGGTGCACTCACCTGCACCAGCATCCATGAGACAAGCTCATCACTGTGACCCCTTTGAGGGTCCCCAAAGCAGCCTTGCTTTGAGCACCCTAAAACCTCTCTGCAGCCGCAGGGTTGTTGTAGAAGGAGGAAGCGAAGCTTCCTGTGAGCTTGCAGGTGGCTGCAAAGCTCTTAACCCCATCAGACCCCGAGGGAGGGCAAACCCTGCTCCCACAGCACTTTCCATCCCAGCCTTTGGGGTTTTAAACCAATTCGGGGCACGATACCAGAGCAAAATGTGGGGGGGATCCCTGGGACCAGCAGCAGCCTCCATAAAACACCAAGATGGAACACCAAGATGCCAAGCAGCCCCCAAATTCAGCATTCAGGCCCCCAAATCCAGGCAGAACCCCCCCCAAACCCTCCCCGAGGTGCTGGTCCAGCCCCATGGCTGTAGGCCCACGGCCACAACCAGGTAGCACAGCCCACCCTGGCTCCCTCCCAGGCAGACAATTAATCCAGCTCATTAGTGTGTAATTAGCAGCATGTGGGGAGGCTGCATGAGCTGATGAAACCACAGCGCGGGCCTGGGGTGGCTGCATTCAGCAGGATGCTGCTGAGCAGGAAATCAACCTATGGCACCCACATGCTGGGGGGAAACACTCCTAACCCACTGCCGTGCCTCGGATCTACTGATTCCATGGCTTAAATCCCGCTGTTGATGAGGGTTTGGGGGCTGTTTGCCGGAGGTCCTCAGCATCACCCCTGCACCAGCAGCGCGCTCCCAGCCGTGCCCGCATCCTTTTGCAGAGCAAGGAGCAAACCCCAGAGCATCCCTAAGGGCTTGCAGACCTGCTGGGGTGTTTGCACAAGGCTTTATCCCACACCCTGGCTGAGCAGCTCCTTTCTCCACTCCATGGCTTCTGCTGACAGCAGAGATGGGGCTGCCCATGGGATGCTCCAGGCTCTGCGGCTGCTCAGAGGAGCTAAAGAGGGGTTTTGGCTTTAGCCTCTATTGGAGCTGGGATGTTTCCAGCCCCAAGCCCAAGTGCCCCCCAACCCACCTTGAGCCCCACAGCACCCCAAGAGATGAGGAGCCAAAACACCAGCTGGGGGGGGAGGAGTGAAAGGAGCTGGTGGGTGCTGTTGTCTCAGGGCAAAGAGGGTTAAACTGTTTCCTACCTGGTTTCAGCAGGCTGGTGCCTGGATCATGCCCTACCCACACACCGCGGGCTGTCACCCCCATTCTCCATCCCATCCCCAACCCGTCCCCAGAGCTGCTCTGCCCGCAACAGCCACAGGCGGCAGGGTCTGCTGGCAAATCCAGCCACGCTCATCACTAGCCCAGGCAGCGCCTCCACCAATGGTCACAGCGGGAAGGGAGAAAACTTGGGATCTTGTTGGGCGCTGTTATGGTAACAGAAAAGGCGGACAAGTGTTGTCAGGAGCCACAAAGTGAATGCAAACAATCCAAGCGTGTTTGTTTGCGTATCTTGCTCTGGGAAAGCCAGGATTTTGCAATAGGGTGATCACAGAATCCCGGCCTGGTTTGGGTTGGAAGGGACCCCAGAGCTCCTCCAGCTCCAACCCCTGCCACGGGCAGGGACACCTTCCACTAGAGCAGCTTGCTCCAAGCCCCTGTGTCCAACCTGGCCTTGAACACTGCCAGGGATGGGGCAGCCACAGCTTCTCTGGGCACCCTGTGCCAGCGCCTCAGCACCCTCACAGGGAAGAGCTTCTGCCTAAGAGCTCATCTCAGTCTCCCCTCTGGCAGGTTAAAGTCATTCCCCTTGGCCTGTCCCTACAGGCCCTTGTCCAAAGCCCCTCTCCAGCTTCCCTGTAGCCCCTTGAGGCACTGGAAGTGCCGAGTGCTGCCAGGTCTCAGCACACCCAGCAGGCAGGAGGGGTTACCTCTGCCCATCCCTGCCCTCACCTCTTAATGCCTGCTCCTCTTTAGGCATCTTCAACCTCCACCACTCCAATCCCATGGGACTGATGAAGGCTGAGACATCCCAACTCATTCTATGTGTGATGCAGGGCACACAGCCCCATCAGGGCTCCTGGCTTCATTAGTGGTGACAAGCCGAGGAGACTGTCACATCCTCAGCCCCGGGGCTTGCTCGGTGCCATGGAAGGGGGGAGACAGGGCTGTCACTCTGCCTTTGCTGCCTTGTCAACCCTGGGTGGTGCGGATGGATTGGGGGGTGCTAATGCCCACTTCCATCCACATGGCAATGGGGAATGATAATCCCTATGCCCTAAAATAGACATCCCTTGCTCTAGGAGGGGGTTAAAGCCCCCTGTTGAACCCCAAAACAGGCTTTACCTCCTCCCCCCAAGGCAAGCAATGGCTATTTTAGTCTCCTAAACCACCCATTCCCATCCAAAACTCAATTCCAGACAGCATTCAACCTCCCACGGGTCTCCTTTGGCACCTCCATGCTCCCCTTCCCCTCCTCAGCTCCCTTTTTATCTAAGACACATCCATGCTGCCCCCCAAAGCATCTCCGTTGGTGGGTTGAAGGAAGCCAGAACAACAGCCTCAGGATGAAGTTGGGCACTCCAGGAGGGAGGAATTCCTGGTTTAAAAACCCTTTCCAAGTTCATTCCTGGTTTATGAGCATGAAAGAGGGCAGAGAGGCTGCTTGCTTAGTATGGGAGAATCCATCCTAGTGAGGAAGAGCCTCACAAACCCTCTCTGTCCTCTGAAAGCACATGTGCCTGTTACTGCACCACCTCTCTAAACCCCATGGGTCTCCCCATTCCTCTGCCTGGAGGGGCCATACCCCTCCAGCTCCTCCACACCAGCAGATCCCCACGGAGAGGCACCAAATCCCTGTGGAAACAGCATCTCTCCATCACTTCCACAGAAGCAAAGCCCCGCGGTTCTTTCCCACCTCCTGCCTGCTCCACGCACCCTCCTGTCCCCAACACACGGTCCTGTCCTCAATAGGAACAGCCTTGTCCCCATGGCATAGCCCGGCAAGATCCAGGGCTGAACCTCTCCTTATATACAGGAGCTGGGGGCTGCTGATGGCAGTAATGCCTTGCAAAGGGCGGCCTTAATCCCTGTCTGGAAAGAGCCGGCAGCAGAGATCCCGTATTAGCTGGATTTGGGCGCTCTCCAAGGGGTCCTTTAAACATCCATGGGCAGCCCGGATGGCTGCTGCAGAGCCACAGAAACCCGGGCCCCGCTGCCGGCACCCCCCGAACAGAGCTGCCCTTTAAGTAAAACAAGGAACTGAAGCTGGAGGCAGCGGCCACTTCCTCGCAGGAGCCGCAGGCAGCGGCACGGCCTCGCATCCCGCAGCCTCCGTGCGAGTGAGCCCCGGCCATGGCTCCGCGCCGCCCTTCGCAGCCTGATGAAACCCTCCGCAAGGCTCCGGAACCCTGCGGGCGGCAGAGCCAGCCCTGGGCGGGGAGGCAGCACCGGAATAAGAAGAGTTCTGACAAGTTTCCCAAGGGCCACCAAGGCTCCGGTGGCCTGGGGACAACGTGGGCAGAAGCGGCGCAGCGGCACGAAATCCCAGCCTGGTTTGGGTTGGAAGGGACCCTAAAGCCCATCCAGTCCCAACCCCTGCCACGGGCAGGGACACCTCGCACTAGGCATGACCCGCACTCTCCGGGTGCATCCCCTCGGCTTGGGATCCCCCGCTCCGCCCAGGGACCCTAAGCCGGGCTCAGGAGCGCCGAGGACTGCAGGATGCGGCCCCCCCGGGATGGGCCCATCCCCGCGGCCCCCAGCTGCGCATCCCGCTGTGATCCCAGCGGTGCCCGGGGGTCCTCTCTTTCCCTCCAGCTGCGGAAGGAGCCTTGCAGGGATCAGAGCGAGCACATCGAGCAGCGGCGCCAGCCCCATCGCCCTGCCCCGGCCCCCCCGAACACATGTGGGGAGCACATCTGGGCACCGCTGGAGGAGCACCACCGCCCCCGCGCACAACAGCTGCCCCGCGGCTGCTCACCTGCAGGGAGGGCCCGGCCGCCGGCTCCTCGCCCGATGCGCGGAGGCTCCGCACCGCGATCCCTATCGCGACCACGATCGCGATCACGGCCCCGGCCCCGGTCCCGCCGCCGTTTCCCCCTGCCCCGCCCCGCGGGACAATAGCGCGGGCCGGCGGCGGGGCGGGGCCTCCGCCCTTATTAGCATATCGGCGGCTACCCGCCAATCGGAGAGCGCCGCAGAGCAAGAAATGGGAAGTCGTTAGCATAAACCCCGCCCTCCCCTGTATTTGCATAGCCCGCGGCGGGAGACCAATCAGAGGGGCTGTCATTATCATAATTTATGCAGCGCCGGCACCCCCTGGTGGGGAACTCCTGCACCCGCCCCGGGACGGCTCTGGAGGGGATGAGGATGGCAATGGGAAGGGATGGGATGGAGCACCCGCAATGCCTGGGATGGCCCGGGCAGGGGGTGGGATAGGTATAGGGATAGGATGGAGCATCCCTATTTCCCAGCATGGCCCGGACAGGGGATGAGATGGGATGGGATGGGAGCACCCCCAATGGCTGGGATGGCCCTTGGCAGGAGATGGGGAGGGAGCACCCCTTTCTGGGGATGGGGCAGTTTTCTCTATGGCTGCCACACTCCCACCTGCCCTTGCCAGCACGCCATAGCCACCCCTGTCCATTCCCTTCCTGCCCCCCTTTTCCAGCCCGGAGGAATCCCGCAATCCCAGCCTTTGTCTATCCTGATTGGTTTATTGAAAAATTAAAGCACAAGCTCTGTCTATAGAAACACAAGGACTCTGCCAGCGATTTACAAGGCCTCCGGTTGCTCCCTCTGCATCCCCACCTATGGCTGTGCCACCCGCCTGGGCCAGCACCCGAGGGAGCAGGGACCACCCAAACCCCCTCCAGCCTGAGCCGGGAGCCCACCTTGTGCTTTGTGTGGCACTCACATGGCAGCGGGGACACCCGGACCTTCCCCTGCCCTCCTGCCCCACTCCCACCCTGGAGAACCTCAGGATACTCCCAAAGGGCAGCGCCCCCCACCCCGATCCAAGAGACATTATGGGATGTGCACTGATTTCTGCCCGTTCGCAGCCTGCCCTACCCAGGCATGAGTCTGCAGCAGGAGAGGGGACACTTGGGGACAAGCTGGGGGGTGTCTGTGCGTGCGGGATGGCGCAGCGGGAGAGGGCTCCGCGGGGTGGGAATGCAGCTTTCCCGCCTCGGCGCTGCCTTCCGCTCCTATTCGGGATGCTCCCCATCCCAAAGCCTGGATCCCTAAAGGGCGACGTTGAATTCTGTGACCAAGAAATCAATGTAGTCCTTTTCCTTCAGCTTAAAGGCCTCGGCGATGATGCGGGCGGCTTCCCGGTGCTCCTTGCCCCGCAGCCCCGTGCCATTCACCTCCAGGATGACGTGGCCCACCTTCAGCTTCCCACAGTTGTGTGCTGAGCCCCCGCGCTGCAGGATAGAGGTGGAGAGATCCTGATCCCATCCCCCATCCCAGGGATGTTTTGGGGGGGAAATGAGAAACATTTCATGTTTCCGAAAGAGGGGATAAATTTGGCTCCCGTTTTGCTTGTCCCAGTGGAATGGCCAAGAAGAACCAAGGTGGAGTTGGCTCTGCTTTGCTTTGCTGTCAGTGACTTGAGTTTTGCCCCAGGTGAGCAGGAGAGGAAGCTGCTGTTCCCAGCCATGCATCCACCCCAGCTGTCCCCCACCATTCCCCCTCTCCCAGCCCTCTATCTGAGCAGGAAAAGGGAGCTTCCAGCCATCTGGAGACACCAGAGCCAAGCTTTCGGGGCTGCCAGACCCCCTCTGGATCCACAGCAAACCCTTAGCTCCCAGGCCATGCTCTACGATATGGGATGCTCCATGGGACACCAATGCAACCCTCAGCACCTCCCCTGCAGCAGAATGATGCTGACGGCAAGGGAAGATGCTCTGGGGGGAAGCACACCTCCAAAATCCCCCCTTCTCCCAAGGAACAAGGGATGGGACAAGAGGAAACAGCCTCAAGCTGCGCCAGGGGAGGTTTAGATGGAACTGAGGAACAATTCCTTCCCCAGAGGGTGCTCGGGAGAAGAGGGATGTGCAGGATGTGCACTGAGTCCTACCTGGATGGTGACGATGCGGGGCAGCGGCTGCCGCGTGTTCGCTCCCCCCTCGATGGCGATGCCCAGGGTCGGAGCACTCTTGGATACACGGATCAGGCACGATGTGGGCTCCAGCAGCCCTGGCTGGGGAGAGATGGGCAGTGCTGCTGAGGGGGACCAGGACCCATGGGGTGGGATGGAGCATCCCCAGTCCCCAGGATGGCCCTAGCAGTGGGTGGGATATGGATGGAATTGGGATGGGTTGGGGATGGAATGGAGCATCCCCAATCCCAAGGATGCCCCTGGTAGGGGATGGGGATGATGGAGATGGAGGCTTCTACCCTGGGGATGGGGTGGTTTTCCTCATGGCTGCTGTACTCCCACCTGCCGTTGCCAGCACCCCATAGGCACCCTTGTCCCTTCCCATCCTGCCCAGGGTCACCCCAAGACAAGCAGGGTCACCCCAAGGAAGGCTCACAGGAGAGGCACAGACAGACCACCTGCAGATGCTCTTTGACTCCCGACATTCCATGTGCATGTCTGTGCATGGAAGCACAGAAGAGCGGGTGCTGCCTACGGCAGGGGCAACCCCGATGCCCACCTCCCACCACCTGCACCAGCATCCACGGGCACCCACCCTCACCGGCTTGGAGGCTCCTTCTGCTGCCCCATCACTGCTCCGGGCCTCCTGAAGGCTTCGGCTCTTCCCAGAGAGGAGCTGCTGGCCCTTGTCCCTGCTGCTCAGCTCCACGTCGCCGATGTCCACCCCACTGTCCTCGCTCAGCGTCTGCCCGCTGTCCGAGAGCTGCGACAGCGTGGAGGCTGTGGGACACCAGGCAGGTTGTGGGGTTAGGATGTCCCCAGGGCAGGGACATCCCAACCGCTCCCAGCACTGGGCAGGGCCCTTGGGATTTAGACCTGGACTTTGGAGGGACGTTCCCAAGCTTCCAGTGTCTGAAGGGGGCTACAAGGATGCTGGAGAGGGGCTCTTCATCAGGAGCTGTAGCAATGGGACAAAGGGTGATGGGTTCAGACTGGAACAGGGGAAGTTCAGGTTAGATCTAAGGCAGAAGCTCTTCCCTGTGAGGGTGCTGAGGCGCTGGCACAGGGTGCCCAGAGAAGCTGTGGCTGCCCCATCCCTGGCAGTGTTCAAGGCCAGGTTGGACACAGGGGCTTGGAGCAAGCTGCTCTAGTGGAAGGTGTCGCTGTCCGTGGCAGGGGTTGGAGCTGGAGGAGCTCTGGGGTCCCTTCCAACCCAAACCAGGCCGGGATCCTATGATAACAGCAGCGCTGTGCACAGAGAGTGCCAAGGAACAAAGGGCCTCAAGGATCCAGCCCAAATCCTGAACTGGGATGGAATGAGGGGGTGATGGGTTTAGGGATGCTGCTGGAGGAGGCTGGAGACGGCCCATGCTCCATACCAGGGTTTGGGAGGAGATGGGGACAGGCCCGAGCAAAGAGGAGCTGCCAGGTAGGAGCTTTCTCCCCTCAGGATGAAGTGTGGGTGCAGATGGAGATGAGCACCAGGGAGCAAGGTCTGGCAGCACCGCAGAGAGGGCAGCGGGTGCGGGACATCTCCCGGGGCTTGGCGGAGCTGGGCTCACACCGCTGACACCCTGCGGGCAGAATCCGACCCCGCTCAGCCCGGAGCGGGTCCCTCGGCCCCATCCACAGCCCCGAGGTGAATGAGCTGCAGTGGGAGGACGGCGCCACAGGAGGGCGACAACGTCACCGGCACCGCTCCCCGAGCACGGCCGGGAACGGGACATGGCCGGGGTACCGCAGCCCCGCCTCAGCGGAGGCAGAGCCATGGGGGGCAGGACCGGCCCGTCCTGAAGGTGCTGCGAGGGCTGGAGCAGCTCTGCTCTGGAGCCAGGCTGAGAGAGCTGGGCTGGGGCAGCCTGGAGAAGAGAAGGCTCCTGAAGGGGAGACCTGAGAGCAGCTCCAGTGCCTGAAGGGGCTGCAGGAAACCTGGAGAGGGGCTTGGGACAAGGGATGGAGGGACAGGCCAAGGGGAATGGCTTTAACCTGCCAGAGGGGAGACTGAGCTGAGCTCTTAGGCAGAAGCTCTTCGCTGTGAGGGTGCTGAGGCGCTGGCACAGGGTGCCCAGAGAAGCTGTGGCTGCCCCATCCCTGGCAGTGTTCAAGGCCAGGTTGGACACAGGGGCTTGGAGCAAGCTGCTGTAGTGGAAGGTGTCCCTGCCCGTGGCAGGGGTTGGAGCTGGAGGAGCTTTAAGGTCCCTTCAACCCAAACCAGGCTGGGATTCTCTGACTCCACAAGCTGTTTTCTGAATGAAACTCATCTATGATGAAAAGCAAACCAAAGAACAGGGCACGGCAGCACTGATCCAGGCTCTGAAGCTTTCCCCACCCTACTGACCAGAAGTTTGAACCAAAATGGGAATGTTTTCCCCTAGAGCTCTTCACCAGCATGTGCTGGAAGCCCCCATTCCCACTGAGACTGGGGAAGCCCTTCAACCAAGCCTCACACTCCAGCAGTCTGATGCAGGTCTTACCCTCCAGCCCCTTTCTGCCCTTAACATCTGTCATGCCCTTAACATCTGTCACTTCTCTCTTGAGGAGCACCCCCGAGAGGGTTCACTTTGTCACCCCATGGCTGATAACACATCACCCACCTCTGGCCTGTGGCAGGGGCCTCACTTCATTGACGTCAGGCTCGCTGTTGGGCTGGTGCACCTCCACCATGATGAAGTGCTGGTTGGCCACAGCCTGGGGGCTGCCCTTGTCCGGAGGAGGGGGTGCCGGGTGGGATGGAGGAGGAGGAGGCGAGGGGGAAGGGGGGCTCTGAAGACCACCAGATGCAGGCCCCTCCGGGGATAGGCTCTTCAGTCTGGTTGGGGACTGGACCCTGGGGAAGGGCCCGATGTGATGCTGGCTGACCAAGGAGAGCTGAGCATCCATCTGCCTCCTGGCGCTGTGCGGGGCTGGGGAGATGGTGGCATAGATGGGGCTTGGGGCTGACTCCTCGGTGGATGCGCTGGCTGTGGAGGTGATGCTGACCGTGTCCTTCTCGGGGTGACTGGGGGGGGGCGTGGGGTGCCGGGGGGCCATGAAGAAGAGGCCTGACTGGGAGGACTCAGAGGAAGGGCGCTTGGGCTTGTCCTTCCCTTGGGTCCTGTGCTGGTCAGAGGAGGGGGCCTGAAGCATCTGCGGGGCTGAAGGAGGAGGTGGAGGCTTGAAGTTGGGTGGTTCGTCTGGGAAGGAGGAGAGGTCATCCTGCCAAAGCAAGGACACTGTTTAGGACGTTCCCCAGGCTCAGAGCCACCTCCGTCTGCCTTCTCATGGTGATGATGGCAGAAATGAGCTGACTTCCACAGAAACACCTTCCTGACCTTATTGACAGGAACGTAACTCACAAATGAGGGTGATCAGAGCACAGACCACCCAACTTCTGCTCTACACAGATGCTACCCAGCCAGAATCCTTCCAAACCGGTCTGATTAAGTTGCTTCAATAACACCCATGGGGTGTTGATTAAGCAAAGAGCTACAGAATGGAGGCAAATCTCAGCATCACCATTTTACCTCCATCTCCAGTCTGATGCCTTACCAGGGAGACATCCGGCAGGGTGTTGATGCTGCTCTGGTGGCCATCTCCACCTCCCTCCAACTCCGACGTGTTCTGAGAGGGCAAAGGAGGAAGAGAAAACGAGGTTAGAGCAGCACTGAGCACCCAGCACAGCGCCAGCCCCATGGGGACCATGCAGGGTGCTCACCCAACTCCCCCATGCAAGGCCAGTCTTTCACCCAAAGGGTGAAACCTCTGTTTCCTTCGAGGTTCCCTGCAGACCCACACATCATCTGAGCAAAGCAACTGTGCTGGGATCCAAAGCAAAGCAGCTTTGTTTGGATACAGGCTCTCCCAAGCTAGGAAGCGTGCTCAGAGCATGCTGTGAACCTGCAAAAGGAGGATGTGCTCCTCTTAATCCAAACCTCAGCTCCTCCTGTTTGGTTTGGACCCAGCAGGTCCAATACCTGCATCTTTGCTGGGATAAGGGTAAGAGACAAGTGTAAAACCTCCCTCCCTTGCAAACCAGAGCAGTGAGATGCAAGCAGAACCTGCTGTCACTGCTTTCCCTTTAGGAGGCAATAGGCAATGTCCCAACACAGCTCCAAACTCATCCCAGCTCCAGCAAGCAAGGTGGGCAATGGGAATCTGTCAGTCTGCCTGTGCAGGGGCAGTTGTCAGCAGGATGGACCCAAGGAGAGGACACAGATGTGGTCAAGCAGAGCAAACAGGCACCTTGGCTGAGCACCAGCAGGGACGGGAGGACATAGGGTGTGCAGCCAGGGCTGAACCCAGCTCCTCCTGACTTTAGCCCAGAGCCAGGCTCTGCTGCTGCCTTTGCCATCCCCAGCTCCATCTGGTTCCCCTGCAAGGCCCTGGACAAGCAAATCCATGCTCAGCATCCTTCTCCCACAGCACTTCCCAATCCGGAGCGGTGCTGCGCATCATTCCCATCGTGTTCCCAGGGCTGTTTGCTCCCTGGCGCTGGAATGGGATGGGTACAGTTTGTTTTCAACCGTGTGTTATTCACTGCAGGGTAAACAAGGGATCAGCTGAGCCGCTGCTGCAGCTGCATCCCCCCATCTGCTGGAGCCTGCTGCCGTGCCGTGAGATGTCAGCATCCCAGAATAGACACGGGAGACAAAGAAGAGCATTAGAGAAGCAGCAAAACCACCGATGGGAAGTACTTGGAGCTCCCTGGCTTCGGAGAGAGCCCTGGAGAATGAGAACTGAAGGAAAAGGCTTGTTTGGAGAGCGACAGGTGAAGCCTGAGCTTGGGAAAACTCCTTCCTCTGGCCAAGGCTGATTCCATCCAGTATCCACCATGTGTTGTGTCCCAGCCCTGGCTCTGTCCTCCCTCAGCACCCAGGGACACTGGCACTGACCTGTGCAAGCAGCAGGTTCTCCTCTCCCCACGCTGAGGACTTGGGGAGCAAAAGCAATCCAACAGCAACTGCTCCGGGCTACCCAGTGCAATGGCTTTTAAGCTGAGCACATTTGCTTTCATGCATTGGCTATTTTAAGACAGCTTGCTTGGATTTCCCTTGGAAGAGCCATTGGAGCTACAGTGCCACTGCTCTGAGAGGTGATTATTGAGGAGGCTGCTCCCTCCCACCGATGCTGCTCCTTTACCCAACCTGTTTTCCAGTTTCTTATGGAAACTGGAGGCAGGTGAGGCTCTTCCAGACCCTCAGATGGAAATCCTTGGCCCTTACTATCCCGGAGCCCAGGGCAGGAGGGATGGAGCTGGAAAGCATGTCAGCATCTTTGATTCAGCCAGCCAGTTTCCATTCACTGCTTAAGTGATGGAAGAGCTCCCAGCTCCCTGGGGAATACAACCCAACCTTTCATTAACTTCACAGCTCCAAAGGAATCCCTTATTTTCCACTTACTGCTAATGAGATCTTTGCAGAGCCACTCAGCCTGAACCCTGCAGGGTTTGCTTTGGAATGACAGCACCATCCCATGCCCAGCTCCCCTCCGCTCTCCCCTTCCCTCTCCCATCCCAGAATGGATCCACAGGGCTGGAGGAGCCCAGAGCCCCTTCCCTGCCCCAGCCTGAGCACAGAGACCTGACTCTGGGGGCTCTGAGGGTGACAATGGCACCCACGTGGTGGCTTCACCCTGTCTCTAACCTCGCTGCCTGAGAGGATCGTGCCAAGCACATGAGAACCCTCCACATGGGATGGCTGTGCCTGTCCTGGAGGGGTCAGAGGACACCAGGAGCTGGAGCAGCAATAACAGGAGATTGGTGAGGAAGATGCCCCCTGTTCCTCTGCTCTCGTTCTGCTCTCCCTATGGGGACACAGAGATCACCTGCCAAAGAGGCTGTGCATTCCTGTGCTTGAGATTCACTGCCCAGGGACAGGGACAGCTCAGTGCCAGCCTCTCCTTACTTGTACTTCTTGTGGCACAGAGACCAAAGAGACCACAGACAGACAAGGGTTTAGCAACAAAACTGGGTTACCTCCTGGGGCCCAATCCTGCAACTTCAGGGAGCTGGAAGCAAGGCAGAGCCTGTGGGATAAGGCCCGTGGAGGAGAAGGCACGTTCCGATGGCAGTATCTTTGCTGGGGGTAATGCTAACAACGAGGACTGGGCAGGAGGCAGTGCCCAAGAAGTGCTGCCTGGCCTGTGAGCAATGACAAACACCCTGCTCTCATCGACAGCTTGCACCTGATCATTGCTGCTACAACTCAGTTGTCACAGAGGCGAAGAACTCTGTGTACCACAGTGAGGGTGCCTGTGATAAACTCCATCTGGGAACACCACAGCATCCCCTTGTGGAGCACTGCTGTTTCCAGAGGGGGCTGGAACTGGATGAGCTTTAAGGTCCTTCCCAACCCCAACCAGGCTGGGATTCTATGACAGGATGTGACCATCCTGCTGGTATTTAGCCAGGGTGCCCATACAGCAAGGCAGCAGAGCAGCAGGTAGAGGCAGGCAGCAACAGCAGGGCCAGTGTGGGGTCCATCAATGCTGCTGGCCCTAAAATCAGCCCATCCTTGAGCTGCCAGTGACACACAGGGCTCCAGTGCAACCAGAACACTGGGTCTGGCTCAGAGCTGAGTCTTGTGTGCTCTGCAGCACCAAGGCCTTAAGCTGTGCTGGAGCAAAGGGACTGGAATGGCTCAACAGGGCTAAGGGATGAATCAAGGCGCTGTTCATGCAGTCCCTGTTGACATGCTGGTCCCTGCACAGCCTGTTCCCTCCCGGCACCCATCCACACACACACTCATCCCCTCTGCTATGGCAACCACAGCGCTCCAGCAGCCCCTACCTCCATCAGGTCTATGAGCCACAAGAGCCGCTCCTGGGGACGTGCGGGGGGGGGGGAAGCAGATTGAAACAAGCACAAAAGCAAAACAGACCATCAGTGGGGTGCAGGACCAGTGAGGGAGACAAGCAAACCCAGCACAAGGCATCCCTCCTCCCTCCAAACCCATCCTGCAGGATCCACATCCAGCTGCAGCCAGTGCTGGGCAGGGAGAGCAGCAAGAGATCAGGGCAGAAGAAACCATTCGGGAGCTCTGCCCCTCATGTCTCCTGCTAGCTAAGACAAGCATCCATCCACCGTGATGCTCTCTGCTTGGCACTTGTTCCAGCAGCAGCGGCGACAACCACCTCATGTGTCAGCATTCCCAACACCCCAGGCAGAGCTTGGAGCAGGGCATGTTTCCACATCCATGGAAAGAGGTGCCCCATGGCCAGGGAGGACCTGGAGTGAGACCAAGGGACACCCATACTGTTCTATGACTCTGAGGGATGATTGAAGGAAGCCCTTAAAGCAGTGTACACGCGCTCTTCTCTATGCCAGCACAGCATCCTGGTCTCCATCCCTGACCTCAGCTCACGTGCCAGGCAGGGCTGGAGCACGGCTCACACACCAGGCCAAGCAGCCATGCTTGGTGTCATGGAGCAGGAACAAGACCTTTGATTTTCTTGATCCAGAAAGCATCTCACTGCAACCCATTGTGAACAGAGCACACAGCTTTCCTATGACTTCACAAGGCCCAATGGGACAAAAGCCCAGCTTTGATGCTCTGAAGCTCTCTGAGGCCTCTTGGGATGCTGGACTGACCAATGCAGGCAGGGACAGCCCAGGAATGCCCCCAGCTCCCACCTTGCCTGCACCTTTTGCACCACATTCCCACTCTCCCTGGCCATGGGCTGGTTTCCTTGTACCCAACCAGCAGAAAGCCTCTTGGCATCTGCTCCTTTCAGGAAGGTTTTCAATTCCAAGGTTGCTGATGCATTTATGGTGAAAGGCATTTGATGGCCGGGAGATTAACGTGCACTTGGAGGCGATTACAGGAACTCAGAGGGTGCATGCAGTGAAGGGAGACGTGGGAGAGCTGCCACTCAGTGCTGGAGAGTGGGCAGGGGCTTGCCCAGGCCATCGAGGTCCCTGCTAGGATGCAGAGAAGGCAGCAAACATCCTTAAGGAGGTGATTCAGGCACCAGAGCTGGTGGATAGCAGCAGGCACAGAGGGACAACTCACTGAGATCCCTGTGTGGATGCATCTTGCATTGCACAGGGGACAAAGCGACAGCACCAGGTCAAGCCCCCATGCAGAGGACAGTCACAGTCTCAGGAGCACGGAGATACCAAGCACATGTCCTGGCACCATCCAATGCGCCTACAGGTCACACTGCTGCACCCGGGTAAGCTCTGGGGAATGCATCAGGGAAGGAATCCACCATTTCTCCTGCAGGTGGAATGCCTTTCCAGCCCCGCAGGGATATGGGGGGGCTGCAGGGACTCACCCGGGCTGAGCTGACGGTGGTGGCAGTGAAGTGGCTGCTGGAGGAGGAGACGGTGTCGCTGTAGGACATCATGGAGTAGGAGTCGGTGGCCAGGGAGGGCCCCGAGGGCTGCCGCGCCTTCATGCACTCGATCTCCCTCTTCAGCACCAGGTTGTCGAAGCGGTCGAGGTCTTGTGGGGAGATGACGCCGCGCACGTCCGAAAGCAGCGAGAACTGCGCCAGGAGACAGGCACCAGGGACAGGTTGGAGCACGGGAGGCCTCCCACACTGCCCACCAGGGGGAACGGGATGTGCTGGCAGGTAATGGAGCCTTTGGTGAGGCGCTGGCACAGGGTGCCCAGAGAAGCTGTGGCTGCCCCGTCCCTGGCAGTGTTCAAGGCCAGGTTGGACACAGGGCTTGGAGCAAGCTGCTCCAGTGGAAGGTGTCCCTGCCCGTGGCAGGGGTTGGAGCTGGGCGAGCTTTAAGGTCCCTTCCAACACAACCCAACCCATTCCACGTAGTCCATGAGGAGGTTTGGTCCTAACCTTTACCAGAAGCTCCTCTGCTACTAAACACCAGCCCCTAACCCCCATAGTGCCCTACATCTGGATTTTGCCTTCCACCCTCACCACTGTCCCTGAGGAGACAACCTTGGAGACTTATCTGCTGTGCCAATGGCTCTGCTCAGTCCACCAGGAACAAGGAACCATCCCGGAGCACGGTGAGGGCCTCACCTTAGCGTGTGTGTTGAGTAGCTCGAAGAGCGCCATGACCAGCGCATCCACGGAGATGTTGCCTTCCTTGTACTCATCGAGGTAGTAGCCCATGGTGGCCCGCTCCTGCTCGTTGAGGAGGTGCCGTGCCTGCTCCTCCAGCATGACACGGGTCTGGTTCACCATGGTGCTCAGTGTCACCTGCGAGCCGGCCAGGCCCCGATAGAACACGGGCTGCGGGAGACAGGAGAGAGGCTTTGGCTTGGGATGCCAAGGAATCGGCTGAAAGGAGGGAAGCGGGGACAGCCCCTCGCCCTGGGCTCTGCTGCCAGCCCTATCCTAGCATTACAGGCCGCTGCTCTCACCCAACTGCCTGTACCAAAGGGAATGGAAGGGGAATGCTTCCAAAATGACCAGAGGGAGGTGTCCACAAGGCTTCACCAGCATAGCTGCTCGCTCAGTGTCACTTGTCCCTGTAACTCCAGAGCCAGTTTATGCAGAATAACCAAAGCACCTTCAGGGCTCTGCTCACAAGTTGTCCCTTGGCCAGCTCTTGATTCAATAGCAGGCTGCATTCCCTTCCTGGCAGAGCTGGGGAAATGGGGCCAGGAGGAAGGGCAAGCTTCCCACCTTGTGGAAAAGGCACATTTACCCCCGCTGCAAGCTTAAAGCAGAGCCTGGTGAAGAAAGAGCTACTGGGAACCAAAGGGAGAGACAAACCAGGCTGCGGATGAAAGGCTTCTGCCTTGGAGAGGGGTTTCTAAGGGGAGGTCCTTGCTGCTCCCCTCCCAGGCAGTGCTGGCAGAGCTCACAGAGGGATACGGAGCCAAGACCCTGACTATCCTGGACACGCTGCAAGGAGTGAACAAGGCACGGAACAGCACAGAGCTGTTATCACTGAGAGCCACCTGTGAAACCTCGCTGCTGCATTTCCATTTCAAAGACAGGAGCTCTGCGAGGAGGTGCTGAGAGAAGCCCTGCTGGCATTGCAGCTCTGCTTCCAGGCGGGAATGACCCCAGGAGCTGGCAGGGCCCAGAGGCAGCTGCCAGGCAGAAGGCATCGGAGTCACCTCTGTGGGGTGCAGGGGTCCTTGCCTGTCAATGTGACCATTCTCAGGCTGGAGGCACCAGATGTGCTGCAGACCCACCAGTGGCACAGGAGAGGGGATCATGGCACTGCTTGTAGAAACACAGCTGGCAACATGAGGTGGGGAGGAGAAAGGCTTGAGCCAGTTAAACCTCATAGCACCAGCATCCCTTTCAAGCCAGGAACACAAATCCCTCCCTCCCATGGAAAACAGGGTGCAAGAATGGTGATTTCTTTTGCCAAGGTACCAGGAAGGACTTGTATCTCTTACCCTGGCTGTCACCTCCGCAGCACGGTCACCCACTGCCCTGCGAGGACGGAGAAGAGCAGTTAGCACCGAGCAGAGCGTGCCCATCACTCACTGCATTGAGCCTGGCTCCAGACCTGTGATGTTCTCCCCTCTCTGTGCCCGTAAGGGAACAGGGAAGGGGCAGCAGTGTGCTCTAAAGCCCTGATCCGCCTTCCAGGCCAGAGATGCTGTCTCCTAAGCCCCACACATGGGGGCCACATGTCTGAGAAGCCACGGTGCTCCCATGGACAGGGTGCCCGCGCACATTGCATCGCATCTGGCTGCCACCATTCCGGGTACTGGAGCTCCACAGTACCCAGTACATTCCAGGTCCTGGAGCTCCACGCACCCCTTGGTGACTGTGTCCACCACAGAGGAGCTCTGTGTTGATAACCAACCTGCATGGGGTGCACCAAGCACGTACCCTGCTGAGGTGACGAGGGTGTCCCCCACCTGGGAGCTCGCTATCCACCTTGTCTCATCCACGGTGGTGCGGGCATGGGGCAGCCTCCCGATGTCCTTCACCGTCATGATGAGGTGCCGGGAAGACTTGAGCAGCTTCACGGCCTCGTCATGGGGGATGCTGAGGAAGCTCCTCCCGTTCACCTCCAGGATCTGGTCTCCAACCTGCGGAGTGAGGATGCGGTGAGGCTGCCATGGCCTGGGGGCTTTCCTGCTAGGGATATGGCTTCCAATCCCACCAGGGAGGAGCTGCTCCGTCCATCCCACCTCCAACTGGGGACACAGCAACTGGGGGGACCAGTGAGGGAGATGGACCAAGTGCTGGTGGCTGGAGACCAAGCACTCAAGCTGACCAGTGAAGCCTGGAGGAGCCTATGAAGGATCCCAAACCAGACCAGTCTGCCCAGTCTCCCCCATTAACTGCATCTACAGACGTTTGGTTGTAACAACCCCCAGAGAACATCTCATCCTCCAGCCCCAACCCCTCCTGTCAATGTGGGAGGCCAGGGACCATCTGTGGAAGCCCCAAACCCAGGTCTCTGTGTGCCGGAGGGAGGGTTCAACTCGAGTGTCCCACCTCAGCCTCCAAGCAGTACTGTAGGAGCTGAGAGAGCTGGATTTCATCTCTCCTCCGATTTCCTCCCCAGCTCCTCCCAAGAGCTTTCATGCTGCAGTGGGGCTTTCCCTGACAGCCTGGCCACACTCAGGACACAGCACCCATAGAGCACCCCATGTCCTCTTTCCCTTTGCTCTAGGGCTCTCAGTGCTAGCCCTCCTCGCTCCCGTAGCACAATTCAACCTGCTCCTCACAGCCACCTCTTTGAAACTGCTCTTCCATAGCTTTGCTCAAGCACAGGCTCTGTTCAGCTCTGTCAAAACTGTTTTATTCCCTTTGTGCTGCAGTGCAAACAGAATGAGGCATCAGTTAAGTCCCTCACCTCCCTCTCGGAGGAGGAGATGAAAGGGAATGGGGAGAATTCCTAAGTCTAATAGAACTACATGGAGAGTCAACACCATCCTCTCAGCTCACTCCTGGACTGGGATTAGTTCCCTTACTCCAGGGAGAAGCCAAGTCTATGGGGTGGCTGTGACTGCTGCCACCCAATTTTCACCAGTGCTACCCAGGACTTTGCTGGGGTGAAAGCGAACACCAGGAGCACCACCAGCATAAAGCACCCGGGATCCATCGCCTGCCCATGGCAGGGGGGCTGGAAATCGATGATTTTAAGGTCCTTTCCAACCCAAGAGAAAACCATTCTGTGATTCCATGACTGCTCCAGCAAAGGCGGTGTCCTGATGTTGGCTGGGATAGGGTTAATCTTCCCAGTGGCTGCTGCAGTGCTGTAGTCTAACGCTGATAACACACTGATGGTTAACTGCTGCTTAGCAGTGCTTTCCCTCACCAAGCACTGTTCAGTCTCTCATGCTTTCAGTGCAGAAAGGGAGCCAAAGGCAGTCTGAGCTGGTAACAGAGACCAAGACATGGGAAGGAGCCCAGGGAAAGACAAGTGACCCAAATGAGAGCATCCCCATCATCAGACTCCACAAACTCCTCATCCCTGCGAGCTCTGTTGGGTCTAAGCTGACAATGTGAAAACTGCTGAGCACCAACACTACAGGGAGAGGAGATGACTCAAGTGCCTCAACTGCCACGAGAAACACGCATGCAGTGCAATAAGAATCAGTCCTCAGGTCTTTCTGATTCACTGGGCAATCCACTGGAGTGGATTTTGCTGCTCAAATGAGGAGCATCAGGCTCACTGCAGCATCAAACAGTGAAAACTCAAGTCCGATTCGATACTATTATTGTGAGTATGGATTTTTAATAGTTTTCCAGATCAGGGATTAAAATGTCCTTATTTATTTTGTTCACATTATACAGATCTAACAGCCTTCCTTTAGTTTCTCCTTTCAAGAGAGGACCAAAAGGAACCTGACAAGCCATAACAGGGAGAGCAGAGGGGCCCTGGACAAGCTACTTCACCCGTATCTGTCCTTCAGCCTCCAGCTGTGCTCAGCACAGTGCCCAGCACAGGACCACCTCTACCTATCTTGATGAGAGGCTCCTATTGGAGCTGGAAAGGATTGGTTTTGCTAATTAACATTGATAATAATTACTTCCCCCCTCCTTATCCCCTTACCCCTCCAAAGTCAAGGACAATTGGGAAGGTAACGCAAAACTGCACAGGTGCAAAAGAACCATCTGTGAAAGCAAGAGTTGACCCTGGCACATTATTTGCTGTGGGCACATTCCTGCCCCCGAGCACCCAGCTCCTGATGGAAATGTAACAAGAGGTGGAGAAATTGCCTGGAATCTATGATTCCCTTCTGTGATTCTCTGCAGCAGGCTCAGAGTTAGTCCTAGGACCTGTGTTTGAGTCGGGATGTGCAAAATAAGCATTGTTGGGCTTTCTTGTGCCTTCCTTCAGCAGCAGCGAGAGCCCTCCCTGCAGAAAACAGCCAGGAAAGGAAAGGGAACAGCATCAGCTCTGAAAATGGGATTATTCTCATTTCTTAAGGAAAAATCTACCCTGAAAGGCAAAGGCTGAACAGGACATGTGAAAGGTGACTGACAAGAACCAGAGAGCAGAAACAACAGAGCCCAATGACAGCCTCGCCTCCTTCTCTTCCTGGGGCCAGAGAGAACAGGAGGTGCAATCAAGAGAAACGAATGGGCTCAAGGCAAGCGTTGTGAGCACCTGAAGTCTCTTTAAACTGATCAGAATTGGCTCTGGGAGGAATTCAGTCACACAGAGAAGTGGGTGAGAGTTTTTTAAAGTGAATTAATGCTAAATGACACCAAATTGAGCTGGGAATAACGGGGCTAATGGGATGCCAAATGGTTTGGCACCAGCATGAGTCTTATTAAATGCTACTAACGTGCTAGGAGAGAGGTTAAATTACTTATGGGTACTCCTGAAGTGGAAGGATTCTCCCTTTAGCACAAGGAATTACCAAAAGGAGACCTTAAGAAATTGAAACTATGGGCAAGAAAAAGTGGAAATGTCCAAATTAAGACTTGCAGAAAACTAAAGAGGTTATAATCAGCTTCCCCAGGGTTGGGGCAGATAACTCACATCCAATGAGGCCAATACAGCCTGTTGGAAGGATCCTTATGCGGGAGCAAGGCAAGGGAACAGTGGGTTCGGTGCTGTCGAAAACATGTTCTTTTCCCCAAACCTTGCAGCACAAGGATGTGGAACAAAGCAGATGCAAATGGGAAATGGAAGCACACAAGCAGAGGAGGCTGGCTCCTGGGGTAGGCACTGGTTTGTGCTGGCCTCCCATTGAAGCACCGCCTGTCCCCATCAGGGTGACATGGTTTGAAGGACCACTCCACACCGCCTCCGGGCTCCATCTGCGCACCGCAACCACGCACATCCTCATTGCACCCTATTCAGCCGATTCCCCAGACTCGAAGCAGCCACGAGGCTTTTTATAGCTTCCTGCCTACGTGCAGACCTCTAAAGACGAGCCCCTTCTCGAGAGGCAGCTTTGTGACTAAAACCAATGACGTAAAATCATTCACCTCTTCCTATTTACAGTCTCTCTTTTACTCACTCATGTATATATAGGCATAAACTGATTGCGGTGGCCTCTTTTTACCCCAGCCTTTGTGCTGGCGTCTCAATATTGAGTTGTTTGTTCAAAGCAAGCCACCCGAAATCTGCGATTTCTGATGTAAAGGTCAAGAAGAGGAGAAATTGGCTTAAAGACCCACATCCTGACAAAACAGACCTGCAAAAGGAATGAAGGAGGAAGAAATGGGGATGAGCAGAACAAGCTCAGCTCCTGCACTGGCATCGCTGTGAATGTCAGTGGGGACAGAACCTGAAGTTTCATCATGAATAAACAGAAGAAAGCCAAGGCCAAGAGTATGAATGTTTAATACTTGACTGCAGAGATCAGCCTGCTCTCTGCTGGCACCTGAAGTGCTCTGCTCGTGGCCATGGAGATGCAGTGGTACCCAAACGGGCATCGGCAGGACTAGGTCTCCTCTGCGACACACTGCTCAGACCCTGGTTCTGTGGCAGACAGAAGCCAGCTGAGCTTTTGGGCCTCAGAGAAGCTGCCTTGGTTTTGACTGGTTTTCGACACCACATCGACGGCCCTTCCATCAAAATTTAAGGGAAATGTGGAACTTGTTATTAAAACATTCAAAAATGCAGATTTGGTGCCACAGGTGCAAGAAGGTTTTCACTAAAAGTCTGGCAGAATCGGAGAATCCCAGCCTGGTTGCTCCAAGCTCCAACAGGGGTTTTGGACCCTACCATAGGAGAAGGTCACTTGGGCAAGCAGGGACAAGGAGCATCCTATGGAGATGGCCGAGTGTTTCTGAGGGCACCAAGAAGTGAGAGATGATGCTGGGGGCTCCCTGCAGAGCATCCTTCTCTCCCAGACCATAGGTCACCCCTTGCTGGCCACCCTGCACCACTCTGCCTGCACCTCCCAGGGTACACAGCATCTCCTGGGGATGTCAGTGCAAGCATCAGTGCAAGGTCACGGTGAAAGGCAGCAGGGACAGCGCTCTGGGACGTGAGGATTAAAGACAGAGATGATAAAAGGCACAGGACAATTTGTTTCTCCCCAACAGAGCTGGGAATAGTGGGACTGGCTGGAGCTGCTCCACGTGCTGCATGGGTGACTTTGCAGAGTCACAGGATGTTTGTCCCCAGCACAGACCCTGTGCCAGTGCCAGGCTCCATCTCCTACAGCCCTGAAAAGGCAGGAAAAGAAGAAGTGGTTGCATTGGTTTTCTCCAGTTCTTTCTGTTCATTTCATGGTTACTGCTCCCACACTGACCCAAGCCCCTGTTTCTGCTGCTTTCCTTGGTTCAATCCCCACGCCTGTGAGCTCAGCACAGCCAAGGTTCCACTGCAAACCAGCACACACAGGAGTCGCAGCAGCAGCACACAGCTTCATCCCTCTGTGTGTGTGTGTGTGTGTGTGTGTGCCAGCAGGATGGAGCTTTCCTGAATGCCAGCCTTGATGTGATCTCAGATATGCACCATTTCCCACCTGGGTTTGTGTGTGCTGCAGGCTGTAAGCTTAGAGCTGCTGGGAGGTCTGGAGATAAAGAAAGGCCTTTTATCACGGATTCATCGAATCCCAGACTGGTTTGGCTTGGAAGGGACCTAAAAGTTCATCCAGTTCCGACCCCTGCCACGTTTAATGCTCTGCTGTTGGAGATGGCTGGGCGTAGGTTGCTGCTCCAGGTGGTGGTGGAAGGGATGTGACAGCACCAGGAGGGAAGAACTGGTGGGTAAATGTGATTTCCAGGTCATTCACTGCACTCTGCAATGGAAGAATTGTGGTACCATTCAATGGGAGCTCAACCCAGCCTTGCTGGGTCACTGGGAAGTTCCTGTTGACTTCCCAGGCACTGAACACTTCTGTGGGTTTTAGAGCTTCCACTGAATGTTACCACAATTGAGCTGATTCCTTAGAGCAGCTCCAGTGCCTGAAGGGGCTGCAGGAAAGCTGGAGAGAGGCTTGGGACAAGGGCCTGTAGGGACAGGCCAAGGGGAATGGCTTTAACCTGCCCGAGGGGAGACTGAGATGAGCTCTTAGGCAGAAGCTCTTCCCTGTGAGGGTGCTGAGGCGCTGGCACAGGGTGCCCAGAGAAGCTGTGGCTGCCCCATCCCTGGCAGTGTTCAAGGCCAGGTTGGACACAGGGGCTTGGAGCAAGCTGCTCTAGTGGAAGGGGTCCCTGCTGTGGCAGGGGTTGGAGCTGGAGGAGCTTTAAGGGCCCTTCCCACTCAAAGCATTCCATGATTTCCCTGCTAAGGACCTGAGAGAGATGTTAAGACTTGGACCGATCCAAAACTCCAAGCTCAGCATTTCCCTTTGGTGTCAAGAAGAGTCAGGAGAAAGGAAACAGGAGCCAGCAGAGGATGATTAAGTCCAGAACTGGTTGCCTTACCCCCACCAATGGCTTGTCTATAAAGCACTGGTGATCTCAGTGCCCAGTTAGATGCAATGTTGTGTGCCACAGCAACCTGAGCAACAAGACTATCTGTTCCAGCCTAAATCACAGCCCTGCACCACACTGTCCACACACCTCATGCTATCAGCTTTGACAGCTTTAAGTGACTTTATGGGGCCACTGGAGCAAAGCTGGAGGCTGAGCCCCAGACCCTTCAGGGCTGATCAATGGAGAAATGGACCACCAGAATGCAGAGAGGGGATCAGACTGGATTAACACCAATGCCCAGCAGCCCAGCACCATTTCAGAGGAGTTTAACATCTATTGAGTCTTGACTGACACAAGGAGCAGGGAAAGAACCGTCCCTCAGAGCCCATGGGATTGCACTGGAGGAAGCAAAACCACACATGAAGAGAAACCCTGAGTGATGAAACACGGCAACCTGAGGTGTCCGTGTTTCAAATGTGCTCCATTCATGAGCAGCACAGTCCAACAGCTCCCTTTTCTACTTATTTGGCTGGTGAACCTCCTAGAACATATATGATTTTAACCCAAATGACCCTGCAGGAACAGCTGAGGTCCCAGTCCCATCCTGTTCTGAGGCCTGGTACAGCGGGAAGGCTGGAGGAGCTTGGAGATGATGTGTGTACATGGTGGGATGAAAGAGATGCAAGATCGCGCTTTTCAAGAGGTCTCTGTAGCCAACTCTGGACCAGGGCAGCCTCAGAAGGACCCAGTCACCCCACAGACACCCTGTAGGAACCTATTAGACTACAGAGGGAGCCTGACATAGCCGGAGGTCCCACCAAGCCAGGCTGCTGATAGATGAGCTTTGCTCTATCCCTGAGGGTGATCCTGCTGTTTCTGCCTTTTAGGACATGATGCTTGTGAATCCAGTGCTGCAGGAGGACACTGGCACAGGCAGCTCGGCCTCCTCTCACCACGGCAGCTCAACACATGCTCTGCACCCTGTGCAAAACACTAGCTCCAAACATCAGGGCTTTGGATGCGAGATGCAGGAAGAGGACACAGGACCAGGATCTTTAACAGCAAACTCTTCCCTGCCAGCTCAGGGAGGTAGCAGTGATTTTCTTCACTTCCAGTCCAGGCTGCACTCAGGTATCTACATCAAAACCATCCCCAAGCTGTCTCAAAGGGGAGAAACCAGGTGTGGGGTTGTGCTAAGGCAGAAGACAAGGCACAATCTGCTCCAGAAGCGTCCTCCCTGCACAACCACCTTGCTCCCTAAAGGTTTAATATCCAAAACATCCAAAGAACCTGCCCTGAAAAGCCAGCTCCAGGAAACCAACTCTCACCTCTCCACTGAGACCCGTTTGGCTTGGGACAAGGGGTAGGAAATGCCACTAACGTGGCTCTGCATCCTCAATTCATGAAACTCAATCTCTCTATCTCCCATCCCAGCCCACTGCGGGGTTGTTCTTACCTTTAAGCCAGTGCTCTCTGCTTCAGAGCCTTTATCCACACCAGTGATGTAGATGCCCAGGGAATACTCTGCCCCTCCTCGGATCATGAGCCCCAGGGATTTCCCTTCATTCAGGACCAGATTCACCTGCAGAAGACCAGGAACAGTCATTTATGTGGTGTCTCCCCTGCTGCCCCCAGCTCCCCACACACTGGGACAAAGCCCTTCTGCAGGTACCTCCAGACAACCACAGCCCCAGATGGAGCTCTAAACCTCCCCGCTGCAATGCAGAGGAAGGAGAAGAGAAGGTTTATACAATCCCAGCCTGGTTTGTGCCGGAAGGGACCTTAAAGCTCCTCCAGCTCCAACCCCTGCCACAGCAGGGACACCTTCCACTAGAGCAGCTTGCTCCAAGCCCCTGTGTCCAACCTGGCCTTGAACACTGCCAGGGATGGGGCAGCCACAGCTTCTCTGGGCACCCTGTGCCAGCGCCTCAGTGCATCTCTTGTTCATCTCCCTGTGCTCAGACAACCACTCGGGGCTGCCTGAAGGATGCTTTAGAGGTACTTGGCCTCAGGGTGGGTTCAGCTGAAGGCACAGAAGGCTCCCAGGGCTCCTCCACGCAGCCATGTGCTTTATGATCCCTATTTAATAATGCCAGGACAGTATTTCCACCTATCCTGCCCTGAAGAGCCAGATCATACTGCAGCACTTCACTGGAGTCAGCAGGACGGCAGCTCTGCATGAAGGCATTTACATTTCCCTTTAACACTATCCCAAGGTGCTGGTAAGCTGAGAAGCTGCTCTCCCCACCCCAATACCATCAGATGGAGTAAGAGATACTCCCTGCAAACCCGAGGTGCTGCTGCGCGAGCTGGTTCATTTACACACATCCCAGCAAACCCAGCCTGTGAGGGGCAGAAAGCAACGATCCAGCCCCAAAGACCAGAGGCTGAAAGGACCTTCCAGCAACACAGAGCTGTGTGAATAAACCCGAGTACCAGTTAAACCCACATCGCTGCTGGCAATGCCACAAGGTTGGGTTGCTGAGGCTTAATTGCATTTCTTAATCAGCTGATACCTGCGTCTCTTGGAATAAACCCTGTGGAAATCACAATAGCAACAGAGGCTGTTGGGAAAAGAGTGGCAGCAGCAGCAGGGACCAAGGAAAAAACAGCTCTGGGAGCATTTGGCTTCCTGACAAATTGCAGAATTAGGGAAGAGCTGAGGAATAAAGCGAGGGCTGCAGGCAGGGGGGTTGGCTTGAGCAGGCTGCGGAGCAAGGAGGAACAGAGAGAAGGCCCTGAGGAGCCAAAGCAGAGATAAGCTGCTTGCAGGATGAAGCAAAGGCTGAGTCACTCCATGTTAAAGGCTTAGGGATAAGAGGGGAGGCTGTTTTGCCCACTGTTTGCTAGGGAAGAGGCTGTTCCCACAGCCGGGGCAGAGGTGGTGCTCAGTAGGGTTGGCACCGTGGTGCTACCTGTCCCAAGCACAGCACTATCTGCACCCTCTGG